ACCTCTTGCAATGGATTTGGGATTTTCGTTTTTTGATGAACCAAAATTAAGCAGAGAATCTCGATGCCTTGAAACCTTCCCTTTCCCTTCTGTCTCGCCAGGGCTAAAGCTCCGCTCCCCACGCTGTGACGGGGTTGACCCGCTCCAAGGTCAGACGCCACTCCACATTGCGACTGAAGGGGGCCACTGTGAGGCGGCGCAGCGGCTCATCGACGCCAGGGCCGATCTCGAGGCCAAGGACGATAATGGTCCGGGCGCCTGGGAAGGACTGGAAGAACCTGAAGAAGAGGGTCTGTTGTGGCAAGCAAAAAGAGCTGCAATGTTTATGTTTGTTTTTGATTCCGTTTATACAACAGCTTTGAAGCAGTTGTGAGTTGTAGGGCATTCAGTTGAAATTCTGAATGTTTTCAGGACCTGCACCCTCTTCTGCGGTCTTCCCCTCCCTTCTCCTTCCGCCCGCTGTGACGGGTTGACGCGCCCCACAGGAAATAGACACGATAAAGGAAATCGAAAGACGCATCCGCTTATTAATTGAGCCACTGTGTCTTGTTCCATCCTTTTTCTGTTCGTCCTGGAGAAAACACCTTCGACTCCGCAAGGCCGAGGTGGGTACACACCGCTGCATCTGGCCGCGAAGTCTGGCCACCTCGCCGTGGTGGACCGGCTCGTGGCCGCCCGCGCGGACCTCGAGGCGTGGGGCCTATTTGGCCGGGGGCCCCAAGTCTCAGGGTGACCGGAGAACGTCGATGAAACGCACCTGCCAAACAGATTTGACACTTGACACCCCCACCAATCAAAACGGATTTGTAGGATCGAAGATTCTGTGACATGGTCTGGGTGGTGGATTAGGGCCAAGAAGGAAGTGGAAGTGATGAAAGTGGGAGGCACTGTGAATAAGACGCGGTGCGAGATTAGATGAGTCGATGAACGGAACACTACATAATGAAGCAACTGGACGGGTTTTGTGCAGCTTTGATTGATTCTATGCCATTGGTATGGACTGGTCCTAGCAGTTTTCAGAAAGCGACATGGAGCGATCTGGATATTATGTTGAATTAAGACAAAGAACGATACATTTGAACAAGAGGCCTTGAAGGTAATTTCCAACTATCAAACAAACAAGCGCAAAGCCCTCAGAGTTCCCCCTTCTGTCTCGCCGCTGCCAATGCTCCACTCCCTGCGTCGCGACCGGATTGATCCGCCCCGAGGTGAGACGCCCCTCCACCGTGCGGCCAATTATGGCCATTGGGAGGTGGCGCAGCGGCTCATCGAGGCCAGGGCCGATCTCGAGGCCAAGGACCTTGCTGGTCGGGGAGCCTGGGAAAGGAGGTCTGTGGTGTCGAAGAAGGGGTGCAAAGCTGCACAGATGCACCAGGTTGTTAAACACGAGCCCGGACATGTTTTCATCGGGTCGGAATGCGTCTAAACTCCTTCGTGCAACTGCTTTGGTGAGAATAAAGACTTCCGACACCACCAACTGACTGAAAGTCACGTCCTTCCAAGCAGCCCCAAAGCGATTAAAGACGGACTTGTAACCTCTTGCAATGGATTTGGGATTTTCGATTTTTGATAAGCCAAAATCAACCAGAGAATCTCGATGCCTTGATACCTTCCCTTTCCCTTCTGTCTCGCCAGGGCCAAAGCTCCGCTCCCCACGCTGTGACCGGGTTGACCCGCTCCGAGGTCGGACGCCGCTCCACTGGGCGGCCCGTGAGGGCCACTGTGAGGCGGCGCAGCGGCTCATCGACGCCAGGGCCGATCTCGAGGGCAAAGATACTGATGGTCCGGGCGCCTGGGAAGGACTCGGAGCACCTTAAGAAGAGGGTCTGTTGTGGCAAGCAAAGAGAGCTGCAATGTTTATGTTTGATTTTGATTGAAGCAGTTGTGAGTTGCAGGGCATTCAGTTGAAATTCTGAATATTTTCAGGACCTGCACCCTCTTCTGCGGTCTTCCCCTCCCTTCCCCTTCTGTCTCGCCGCTGCCAATGCTCCACTCCCTGTGTCGCGACCGGATTGATCCGCCCCGAGGTGAGACGCCCCTCCACCATGCGGCCAATTATGGCCATTGGGAGGTGGCGCAGCGGCTCATCGAGGCCAGGGCCGATCTCGAGGCCAAGGACAACTATGGCCCGGGCGCCTGATTTTGATCAATTGAGGAACACGGTTTGCAAACATCGTTTATGCGTGACTCTGATCCTGTTTGTGCAACAGCTTTGTTAAGCATTTTTGGAACACAGGGCATTCACTAAAAATTCGGAATCGTTCAAACTTTAAGATGCTGGGTGAACCTGCCAGGACTGAAGAAGGTTTCTTACTGTTCACGTGCCTGCTCGTGGGTGCCTCATGGTGGCCGCTGCACTGAGGCAAAACCCCATGGGAGAGGGCCAACATGAATGGAGAGGAGAAGGTCATGGGTGTTTTGCGCCCTGTGCCTCGTCAAAGCAAATGCAGCCTGCAGACGGGTCAGTCTAGGGGCGGTGGTTGGTCTGAGAATATATGAGGCGAACTCTCATGACTTGGTGAGGAGTTGACGGATGTTTCATGGTGTTTGTGCTATTGTTTCGTAACAGATCACCAGTATGGAGACCAAGACCAGAGTAAATCCAGTATCGTTGCCAAGTTTCAGTGTGACCTTGCTTCACTCCTGAATTCATTTTGTTCCATCACAATCACAGTCAGGCGCATCTCTTCAACACATTCTTGCTTTCGGGGCTGGAATACCTTTGAGCTTGTCGCAAAGCCTAAGTTGTTTGTTAAGCCATAAAGCTTCTTCAACAACCCAACCGCGTCACGAGAAAAATTAGGGAGTCATCCAAGTCGTGGTTTCCACCATGGCAAACCGCCGAGGTCCAAGTGGGCCTGCTGAGTGGTCGCACGGTCCGATGCAACTTGGCTCCAAGTCAAATGGATTGACTCGGGACATCATCCGCTTGAACCTTTCAACAGGCACCCCCTCAACTGATCGTGGATTGAGTGAGACTGTGTGCTTTCCTCGCATGTTCTTTGAAGATTGCAGATCTGATGCTTCGTGGTTTCTTGTTTCTTGAGCAATTTGCCGCTCAGTTGTCACCTGCTACTGCGGCAGTTGGTGTCCGCCCAATCTGTATTGTTTGGGAACGCCCAACGAGGTGAGATGGGTTTCTTTTCCTTCAAGAAGTGGGATGTGAGTTGCTCACCGTGAGGTGACCCGAATCCCTGCCTCACTGTTCGTGAGCTGCGAGAAGAAGCCCAGCCACTTGGCAGCAAGTTGGTTGACAAGTCAGCGAGGAAGGTGGAAAAAGGTTGACAGTCTCCTCACAAAGTCTTGTGTTTCGGCAGACAAGTTGCTTGCTTTCGACAGTGGACATTTTGCCGGTGCTCTTCTTGAATACACCAATTTTTCCCTGGTGACCCGACTTTCCATGCTCGTATGTTTGTCTTCCCAGGCGTGCCAGCCTTAGGTACCTTCATGACGAAATAGTGAAGTGTGTACGCCCTGGTTCCGTGGATTTGTTAGACAAGGAAGCTTCAATACAAGGTTAGCTGAATCAGCTTGTGTGTAGTTTGAACAGTTTGAACAGTATGCTGGCCACTAACGGCCACTAACGAGTTTGATCCTGTATACGTGATGGTGCAGCGCTCATGCCGTGGTAAAGCTCTGGCCTTCCTCTACATCGTGGTGCATTGCGGTCCAAGATCAAGTGTCAACCTTGGCCTGGCTGAGGTCTAAGCTTGGGCGTGGGTTCCAGATCCAGCAGCTCCTCACGCGCTCTGGACAAGTACTGTGCGTCCTGCATGTTTTGAGTTGAGCCACCGAGCTGAATCCACGTCCAAATGGCACCTTTTCAAACAAAAAGCCACCAGAGTTGAGGCAGGTTAATACTACAGTCACCGTGTTCACAGAGTTACAAGGTTCATCGTGGGAGATCCCCACCTAGTCTGGGAGGTTTGAGAAGGTCAATGGTGGAATGCCAAGGTTGTCACCCTAATGGCACAGCATGTGCTTGTCAATCCTGTTTCCTGGCAAAAGAAACGTGGCCAGCACTTTGCCGTGCCAGGCAAGACCCTTTGACGCTAGAAGATGCTGGCGTCACTTACGGCGACTTCGTTACGGCCATCGCTCCGGCCTCAGCACATCCAGCACATCAGCGCACTGCTGGAGACCGTCCGTTTCAATCCGCTCCGAGAGTAGGTCTCCAAAGGGTTCCGCGAAATGGGTGAGATGAACACAAGGGTTCCCAAAGAGTAGGTTTTCCAAAGGGTTCCGTCAAGAACAGCGCTTTGGCCATGCTTTGCCCTTTTGAGGTCAATGAAGATGAGGCGCGCCCATATGACATGTTGTACGCTCTACATTGTTGCACGCTCAGCCATATGGTCGTGGTTTTTGGGATGAACGTAGAATATATCAATCATAGGAGGATGGTTCGGGTGGTGCAGCGCAAATCAACATCGCATTCCAACACATGGCTGCTTCAAGAGTTTATAGCGCCTTGTTTAAATGGATGTGGGTCCAACACGGTAGCTTGATGCAGAGCTTCAAAGAGCTGGTTCTTTTCATAAATACTCAGAGACGGATTGCAAAATTGGCCTTGTTGACAGTTTTTTCAGCGTCGGCGTGGGATGACTCATTCCATTGCTCAATTGTCGATCAAGAGAACAAGCAAAACAATCCAGCCGTGACGCCTCATCTTCAAATTCTTGCCAGGCTTCAGTGCAGCCCTGAGAAAGCGTTGTCAAACTGAATATGTGGAGTGACCTCTTAACAAAGGAACAATGTATCAAAGACATTCCGAAACTGGTTTTGTATACAGATGATGGTCCTGAAAAGAGGCGGATTACTCACACATGGACACATGGTGGCTTCTCCAGCCTTACCAAGAAACCTTTGTGCCATGCTCTCGGGTGCAGGTCGCAGGAGAAGCAGCACGAGAACGAGAAGGCAGCAGATTTGATTCACGTTCAGTTTCCTTTTGGTGCCAGATTGTGAATTAGACATGTTCAGTCAATTTTGGGTGCTAGTTTGTGGTGATTCAGCAGCAGCGCAGACCTTTCCGTGTTGCTTGCAGGTCTGTCTCTCTGCGTGGATGCACGTCCTTCGACTGATCTGCGAGTTGTTGAGCTCGAAGAGGACCGAACTGAGACGCTGAGGAAACGGTGAAAGACGAGCGGAGCTGTGAACCAGGTGGTTCCATGCAAGAGTGGCTCAGTTTCGGACAGCAAAAGAGCCCAAATCCCATCGTAGTGGTGTGGTTAGATCACGATTGTTCGGCTCAGTTCGGTTCGAGTGTTTTCAGCTACCTGGGAGCTTTGGAGGTCATCGTTCATGGGTATATCATGGGTAACTGTATATGATGTTCCAAGTTTACTTGAGTAATAGCATACATGATTTTTAGGTGGCACATTTGGAAACTACATTGGCATGAACCCAAATAATAGGGAACCAGCAAACATTTTTCTGAGGTGGACACATACACAGACAAAAGATCATGCAATTCATCATTGACATCCCCATGTGACTGTGGACAAACCTGGAGGAAACTTGGTCACCTTCCATAAGAGTTCCTTTGTTGCGTATTGAAACGAGGATCTACCTTTGATGATCTTTGATGTGTTCTTTCTCAGAGTAGAACCCCCTCGAAACCACTTGTAGATCGCTCCGGAACATGTTTCATCATTTCCGTTTCCGTTTGAACATGTGTCGGATCCAATCTGCAGAGAGGTGGGATACCGACGGACAAGGAACACTTCCTGAGTGTGGGGTGTACGCCAAATCAAGCGCACGTATTGACACGGTGGGACACTGTGACTTCTCCAGCAGCGGGAGGAGGAGAAACCCTGCTGATCGAGTAGATGCCCCTTTGTGATGCAAGGATGGGACATGATGACCTTGGGATGTTGGTGTATTGAGTTTCTCCACCACTTCTACCATCTTGAAGCTGGGGATTTTGTTCCAGAAGGTGGCCATTTGGGAGTTGCCAAGAGCTTGGGAACGTTGTGCAAGTTGGTCAACGATTCTTGCCCAAGTTGCCAACTCGACCTGCCATGGAAGGGGGTATTGAGAGAGAAGTGTACATCTCTAACGGTTTATTTTCTTCTGTGTGTCTTATTTACATATGGCACCTTTGAGTCATGGTCGTTCTGCGTGCTTTTGCCAAGACCGGTCCAGTGGCACACATAGATTAGGAGCTTCGTCTTCGCCAGCACAGGTCCTGTGGAGACCACATTGTGGTCAAATCATCAATCACAGGTGTCAATGCATTCGCCTAGGCCTAGGGATTGAGTCAATCAATTCATGCCTTAGTTGTATTTGGTCTGGCATCTAGCTAGCCTGAATACGCAACGCACGAGCAAGAACCAATGCGGTAAAGAAGTAATAGAAAAGCTTCATTGACTGGGAGGTTCTGATGCAGTGACTTCAGCTAGAGGGTAAGTAGGAGGGAGTCCTGAACCTTTTAAGTACATTTTTCCTGCAAGGCAGGATACCTTTGAGTTCTCTTCGTTGGTCAATTTGTGCACGTGATCCGATGAACTGGGCAGAAGCGTGTATATAAGACCAACTACCTATGGATGTTGTGCCTTCCTTCAACCATTCCTTCAGATCTGCTTGCAGATCAAATTTCACAAGTCGAGCCCTCAGCTCAAGCCACCTGACCTCTTCACTTTTGCAAAGTTGGCACTGTCCACTGCTTTAGTCAAGCCGGCAACTTGCGTCTTGGACGGATCACAAGCCGGCCTACAAAGTTGGCGCTCTGGAATCTCATACCAACTCCACGACATGGTTCATCCGTGTGAAGCAGGTCAACTTCATCTTGGAACAGCAGGTCAGCTTCAAAGTCGGTTTGTTGGTGTTGGGTGCCATACTGGCATGCTCCGCAAAGAGTGGCCAAGCTTTTCTCCCAAGGCTGTCTCAACCCTCAGCAGTCAGACCTTCTGGTTTAGACTTAGACGGTCCAGGTTCACGTCCGGGCTCCAGGTTCCCAACCGAAGCGTTCTGCTGCGCTTGCCCAAGAACTCGGCGAAGTGGTCGTTGAGTCATTGGTCGAGGTTGCATTCCTTAAAGAGTCTGAACGCCAGCCGCCTCAGGTGAAGAAGAAGGCTACATCAGGATTCTTCCAAAGATTGCTAGGAAAATCAGAAGGTCACCAGCAAGTGGTCTCCTTTTTTTTTTGTTGACTTCTTGGCTCCTATAGCTGTTTGAACTCCTTCAAAGGCTCCAATCAACACTGGGCATCCCTGATAGGGCTTGCAGCTACCATTTTTCTCCATGCTCTGGCGCTTCAGCGGTTGGCAAAGAGTTCGGAGCGGTAGATCTCAAGGCCACAAAACGCACACCTTCTCCAATACCAGCGTTTATTGGACCGCTAAGATCCCCTTCTCCAGACTTCTGAGACCACAACCAATGGATCCCAGCCACAAAAACATCATCGGGGTGAACTCAAGTTAGGCCAACCAATCAATTGCTCCCTCAACATCCCTCAGGGCCTTCTTTGTGGCCTCCGCGAAAACCAACTATGGCAAAAGACCCTCAGCGAAGCTCCCTTGGAAAGCCTGTTTGAACCCATCTCATGACATGGAAGTCTTTGGTAGCAGAGCCATTGATGCCCAGTTGAATCCAATGTCCAAGTCCATCTCCGATCACCGGAAGATGTTCAGGTTCTGTCCAATCTTCACGATCCAAGAGCATTCAATGTCCAAGTCCATCCTTCAGTGGCAACAAGGATCCAGGGATCGTGTTCCATCTTGTAGCGCTCCTCCGGGTCACCCTGGTCTCCTACAGTTGGCGATTCGCGTCCTTGACCTGTTGGACCTTTAAATTTGGTAATCGCAGAGTAGCAGGTGGCAGTTCCAGCTGCAGGAGTTCCAGTTGTTGTGCTCACCTCTTCTTCAAGGCAGTCAGAAGGTAGATGAAGGACTCATCCCCTCAAACAAAAACGTGAAGGGTCTTGTATTTTGGGGGATGGACAGTGGGTTCGTTTGCACGTTTGCCAAACCTTTTTGCCGGAGTAGTGAGTATCCATCATTCCCATTCCAAGCGCTCCTGTTTCCTCCGGAACAGATCAACACCGAGGCTGAGGGACCAGTTGCTGTTGCTGAGATGCACGACTCCCTGACATGGGAGTCTCGACTGCTGAGGGGCGAACGTGGCTCCGTTCGTTCTTATGGTCCCCGATTCATCGGAAGCAACCAACGACGAACAACGACGAGATGACCTGTGAAAGCGAAGGAACGGCTGAAAAAGCCCGTTGGGAAGACGCTTGTGCATTTATTCTTGGTTTTGTTCATTTGGATTAGCTTGGGGCTTGGATAAAAGACTGGGAGCCGATTGATTCTGGAGGGTGTTTCAGCCAGTTTCAGCCCACTGTTAGAAGATCCTTAGGGACATTCCCGGCCTCATTGGCTGGGGTGACTTACGGTGTTCTTCTTGGTGAAGGTGTGGCTCATCCCCACACCATTCATGGATACCTTGACCTCATCGCTTCCTTGGTGCTTATGGTTTTATAGCATGTTTAAACAGATCACATTGCAAACGGTAGAACACCAAGAGATTTGGACCGCTGCAGAGCCGACGCACGGTGTTGTTGAACCGAAGGAGCCGCGTTTTGCCCAGATCCTTTCACTCGGAAGTTTCGAGCTTGGTTTCGACGGTCGAAGAGCATGAGAAGAGTGGAGATCGATCCAGGTCGCGGGGCAAGTTTCCATGCTCAGAATCAAAGACTTTCGGAGTAACTAAGTGGAGACCTGGACTTACAGTTCAGTTGAAATCTAGGGCTGACATGTTTTGTTTTATCTTCTGCAAGTTCGCGGTGGTGCATCTTTCTTTTTTGACTGTTGTTGGGGACATGATGTTGCACAAGGGAAGATTTATCCCAGATGAACCAGGGTCCAATGGAAACCAGCAGCACCATGTTTAGCATCTTCGACCTCGACAGGGTGTTCTGCTTGCAGAGTCGCGAGCACATCCAAACAGGCCCCACATCCGAACGCCAAGTGGGGCGCGCAAAAAGGCGTTGATCCGAGAAATCACAAGCAGGAGCAGGTGAGGATCTTGTAGTGAAACTCATTCATCCTTTCAAAAGCATCATTGGAAAACTGGAGCACGTGTTGATTTGAAGCTTCATGTTCGTTTGGGAGGGGTAGACTGAAAACCAGTGGATGAAGCTGTCTTCTGGGTACCAACGTCATTGAGCCTTGGTTTGATTGCAGGAGGCCAAGAAAAGCAGGACCAGAAGAGTAGAAGATGTTTCTCTTGCAGGTTGATTGAAAAAGAAAGGGGCGTTCCGAAGTGGCTTTGATTTGACAGAATGATACATGGGTGGAGTTGATGTTCTTCCTGCAGAGGACGTAGGCTCAAAAGTGCCTCACAGCATCCTTCGAACGTGCCTGGCGCAAGTTGACGCTTCTTTTGGGTTCAGGCTCTTGACGCTTCGCACGATTCTTCTTTCTCGTCCCTCATCAGGCACAAGGTGCACAAGGCCCACTCCACCTCAACGGTGAACCCCACTCCCGCCCGTTCACCGCAGCGATCCACCGATGGATCCATCTGGTGATGGTGTCATGGATCCAGGCGAATGCAGTCTCCGGGCGATGCCATACCAACTTGGAGGTGAAGTTGATTTTGGTGTTACTGTACTTGTTTTATATATATACATGTGAAAGAAATGCCATGTGTGAATCTCCGAAGATTTTTTGGCATGTGACGCATGATTCTTGGCAGTCGCTAGCTTTTGGGATGTTTTGGGTGCATTGGGCTTGTGTCTTCGAAAGGGTTCGATACGGGTGGGAGAGGGTCACCACTGTCCCCTCGGAGCTCGGGTGGATGCCAGGTAAATGCTGCAGTGAAAAGCAAGGGCGATGACCGGTGAAGTCAAGCCTGGCCTCATTTGCACGTTCTAACCGTCCTAATTACATCTAATTACCAGAAAGAGGGCTTTTGAAAGGACGAATTAATTACTTTGATTGGGGTACCTGGACTACTGAAAGAAACTCTGTGAAACAAGTGGTATACAGCATGTATGCTTTTGTTTTGTTATTAATCGAATGACTTGCTCGCAGGTGCAAGGCGTCATGGAAAGCAAGGGCAAGCCATAGAGCTAGTCTTTGGCTTACCCTACATGGGCATTCCCTTCCTCAGTTTAGGGCGATGTACCGAACGTCCAGTCTAGAATTCGCTTGCCAAACGGTGTATCGACCGATGGGCTCTGGGCACCACCGTTTGGGTCACAAGTTCTCGCTAGCTGACAAGAGCTCTCCTCCCTGCGCAGCGTCAGGCTGCATTTTGTTGCGCAGTGTTTGCTTAATACAATCGAATGTTTGCTTGATGAGCAAACGCTTTGGTTTGGTGTCTCCAGGATAACTTGCGAGGACTTTCATCACATGGCTGCATGGACCATCGAGTGAAAGGAGTATTACACGCCTCCTCTCTTGAATGGATTTTGCAGACTTGGAATACAATCGTTCACAGATGTACTAGGGGGAGGTCTGAGCCGCTTTCTTGTTTCAGACTTTCATTTGAGCCTTATAGTTCGGGATCGATCCTCATTCCGACTCATTCCCCATAATGTATGCCATAAGTCGCACCGTGATCATCACCAGTCTATGTCTATAGTGGATTTAGAGTAGACTCAAACTGAGCCTGGAAAGCGTGTTTGCCACGGCCGTTGACCCAAGACCGAAGACCTTTGACTCGTGTGGGCCGACCGTGAGGAAAAGTCTGCGCTTGCTCCGTATGTTTTTCACATCTTCCGATACTTTCCGTAGGTCAGTTGCTTCTGGGCTCGGCACGATGTTGGAACGCAAGTCGGTTAGGTCCACGTTTCCACGAAAGGGGGCGCCCAAGATCAA